TGCTACATAAGACAGGGTTACTGTAAAATCATCTGGCTTCAAATGTTTCCGTAGGTGATGGAATGCCAGATTTTAAACTTAATCTCACTCTGAAATTTCATATTATAATACCATGTATTAAACCAGGCATGTTTCTTTCAAATGGAAGAAGCCAAGGGCTAACACATCAGGGCTGGTACCTCCACTGCATATAACACCTGGCTCTGGCTTCTCTACCTCCTACTGCACTATTCAATACCATGCAATGAATACTTTAGCATACACACTAGAGCACAAGTGCGTGACAGGAGCAATGACACTGTATCAGACACAATGGTCCTGTACTTAGGCCAAGCAGGAGAGGTTCCAAACAGCAAAGCGAGATTCATAATTTCAGAAGCCTTTATCCTATCTAAAGAAAATTATAAACATTCTCCCATCCAGTTTAAGAAGTACTACCTCACAAGGAGTCCTGGTGTGGCGCTGTGGGTTAATGCCCCAGACTGCAAAGCTGTTTGAACTGCAAGGTCGGCGGTTCAAGCTCACCAGCTGCTCTTCGGAAACCCCACACAGGGTCGCTATGGGTCGCTACAACACTTTACAACAACAACAACAACCTCAAGTGGAACAAAACATAATAATATTTTGACAAGGTATGTGGGAGGAAAGTGACATTCTACCTCACTCATTCTCATATTATTTTTCTTAGTAAGGAAGCTTCTGGCAACAAACTGCACTGTTTGGACCAGTCTTCTTTTTAGAGGTATTACACTACACTTTTGCCTAGGTAGTCTTGTTTTTTAAAGGATATGTTATGTGTCTCCCCAGCTAGGCAGATTGTGTCTTTATATCGCTACTGTATTGAAGTTACACTTTTGAAAGTCATCAGCATCATCAACAATCTTCTAACCAATAAAGCCGGTGGTATTTTTCCAGTCTTTAACCTGATTAGAATGTAATGTTACTGAGGACCTCCATTTTGACTGTACCATTAAGTTCCATGTTGGTTCTCTGTAATATCACAAAGATCTTGAGGACAGATGCCATGTTCCAGAAAAGCAACATCTGAGTTATATGGCAGGTAACAAGAATATAAAACAAACAAACAAGCAACAAAAATGAGACAGAGCCCTGTGATTTATTCTTATTATGTATCCTTCAAAAACTCCTTCTACATTATGTTGTTGTAATGTGCCATCGAGTCGGTTACTACTCATAGTGACCCTATATAAGGTTCCTGGGGAGCAGCTGGTGGGTTTGAACAGCTGACCTTTTGGTTAGCAGTCCAGTGCTTATCCTACAGTGCCACATCAGAACTCTATTACTGTTGTTGTTGTTATGTGCTGTAGAGTCGGTTCTGACTCATAGTGACCCTGTACAGGGTTTCCAAGGTTGTAAATCTTTATGGGAGCAGAAAGCCTCATCTTTCTACCACTGAACAGTTGGTAGTTTTGAACTGCTGACCATGAGATTAGCATCCCGATTCATAACCACTACGCTACCAGAGCTCCTCAGAACACCATTATAGATGATCAATACATCTCTTAGTTGATTTAAAACAATTGAACTGTTTTAAGAATCTTACAATGGTCTACTAATCTGTAACAAAGAAAAACTTTTTTAAATTGTGAAACTAAGGCATGGAAACTTGTAGATAGTACCCATTTGACCTAGCTTCAATAGCTTGATGATCAGAACTCGACTAGAGGAAAAATTTAAAATTTTGATAAAGGAAACAAGTATAAATTGCTATAATTTGATGTACTTGACCTATACTTATGGATGTAGTAGCTCAAAATACCAACTGAGAGAGAAGGAGTCTTCACATCAAGGATTAATCCTATCCCCATGGTATACAGGGTTGATAGGGACAGGCAACTTAGACATTGGCTACCTAACATGGGGTGTGATAAAGACACAAAGTGACTGGCTTACAAGATTTCAAGAGGGAGTTTAGTTTCAGACTGTGTGGGGGAAGGCATAGTTTTCATCTTGTCTATACAGGTCTGGTGAAAGGAGATGGGGATGAGATTCTTATGATTCAATAGTGAGTAACTGTTATCATGACTAACTGCGACTTTCACAACTGTAAAGGTTAAAGTTTTGTTAACAAAAAGGAGGGAGTAGTTACCCTTACATTCCAGGAACAGAGGACCCTAGGACCATCAAGGGAGTAGAGCATGAGCAGAATGTGGGACCCTATCCAGAGAAGCAGTGACACAAGAGACAGAGGAAGAGATGAGGACATGGAGAGAGAGAGCAGCTGGAGACTCTAGACTCATGGGAAGAGAAAGGCTGTGTGCTGGCAGCCAGGAGGCAGGCTTGCAGAATGTGCCCTTTGGTTGTTTAAATAAGTATATATTCCTGAGTATTTTTGTGTACAGCCCCCAAAAAACAAAAAACAAAACTCAGAAGGAACAGAAGCAAATGCTGTTGAATGATGATGCACAGACGGGATTATAATTGCAATGGAATAATGAGTGTAACACTGATGTTCTCCCATGTAAACTATCACTCAAGTTGCAATAAAAACTTTAAAAAAAAAATTAAGGCATGATAAAAGGGAGATGGGAGACATATTTTCACATCAAGAACTTCAAATGGGAAACATGTTTAACCTTCTCATTCCCTATCTTGCAAGAATAAATGTCCTTAGTAAAGTTTTTCCTCCCTGTACTTGGCATTTTCCTGTTTGTAACTCCCCACATTACACTGCTATTCCTTTCATTTTTATGAGCTTTCCGGTATAGGAAAATCTGCCTAGGAAACACTACAAAGAAACATGGTCAACTGCATTTGGATGAGCGAAAGAAATTGAGATGGTGGCTATTTTCTTTCTGAGAAGGAGTCAGAACTCCTTTGTTCTGTGATTGAAGGAGTCTAAGAAACTTGGAGATTAACTTTGTAGGTGGAGAGCTCCAGGCTGGTGAACTATTTTCTGTTTTAAGTAGAAGGGAAGTTCATCTTCTGGGGTTAAGGGAGGCAGGATTGAGTAGGTGGTTTAAAACCCTGAAGATATGAATTTATTACTTAGGGGAATGGAAGACAGAGCTAAGAACAAACAAAAGAAACTGGAGATCCAGCCTTAATAAAATGAATAAAACAAGGTAGTTTAATGCAGCTAATTATTCACAGATCTATGTCCAGCGTTACACATCAGCTGAAATACATAGAGAACAAAAGGGGGCATCGGAGGAGATGGGATAAAATGTCAATAAGGTGCCATTTTTTGAATACAGGCAAAGTGAAAATAAATGAAGAAACAAATAAGCTTACAAATTTCAGGGTTTTTTTGAATGTATATTTACTGATTCAGTAAGACTGTAAAATACAATAGGGCAGTCAATACTGAGGGATGATGTGGAGATCAGGCGGTCCCCTGGGTTGGGCCATGAAACAGTTATCTGCCTTACTGAAGATGATTCTCATTTATTGTTTGTCTAAGTGATTACGAATCGGGCTGCGAACTGCAAGATCAGCAGTTCGAAACTACCAGCTGCTCCACGGGAGTAAGACGAGGTTCTCTGCTCCCGTGTAGATTTACAGCCTTGAAAACCCTGTTCAGGGTCGCTATGGGTCGGAACCGACTCAATGGCACTTAACAACAACACAACAAAATGGTTAGTAATGACTTCAAGACACTGGGAGAAGTACCAAGTATGAGAAGGCAAGAAGAGTATCTGTGATAGTGCACTTCTTAGCTCTGGTAGTGTAGTGGTTACGAATCGGGCTGCGAGCCACAAGGTCAGCAGTTTGAAACTACCAGCAGTTCCGCGGGAGAAAGATGAGGCGGTCTGCTCCCGTAAAGATTTTCAGCCTCGGAAACCCTGTACAGGGTCGCTATGAGTCGGAACCAACTCCACGGCACATAACAACTTTTGCATAACATGTAAGTACCAAAAACTGTAAAATAACAATAAAGCCACTTCCGAACACACACACACACAAATATGTTGTTGTTAAGTGCAGTCAAGTCAATTCCAAGCCATAGTGACCCTGAATAGGGTTTCCAAGGAGCAGCTGGTGAGCTTGAACCGCCGACCTCGCAGGTCAAACGAATTGCAGTCTGGCGCATTAGCCCACAGCGCCACACCAGGACTCTCTCTATATATATAAATACATAAAATAAAATCACAAAATTGTTAGCCAAAGTGACCATGTCCACAGTTTGCTTCAGCATTATCTAAACAGAATCATACATTTTAAAAGCTACAGACCAATGTGGATGGATACTGGTGATGGTAAGAAATCACAAAAATATTAGCGAACCACCTATCAATAACATTCTAAACTCTGGTTATGACAGAAAATTACACAGATCCTGGCACCCAGGAAACGCTGGCATATACAACCAAAACAGAGCTTCCGTGTCTGGAACGACAAGCGTTTAATGGGCACCAAGAAAAAGCTGATCAAGTATAAACCCTGGCCAATGGTACCGCCTTCAAGTGAATCCTACAGATGCCTTTCAGCCTGCATCCAAGACACCCGCTGGAACAAAACAAGGCCCAGGAACTAGAAACAACTAGGCTACAGAGGATCTTTTGTTTTCCAAACTAGGGAGCAACATCAAAACTCGCTCCTTATTGTTTCCTTGGGGGGAGCGAGGACCCAGGATGCATAGGAGGGGGACTCTTTACAGATCACGAAAAGTATAAAACAACGGGTAATTTCCACAATTCTTCACAAAACTCTAAACACCTCTACCCCATGCCCACAACACCTTGGGCCTCTCCCAAACCCATTTTCTCCTCCAATTCTTGCATAGGAAAGATCTCATTCCCATCCACCCTCCACTACGATTTCCGGACACATTCTCCTCCCGCAAGGTCCTTGGACTCAGTCCAGAGTTACATCTTCCCGCTCCACCCATCACCCCTATAATTTTCAATCCCCACCCCCTGCACTTCAGCCTCAGTAACACCAGCCACTGTCTTCATTTCGGACCCCGCCCCCCCCCTTTACGCACATGCGCATTACCCCGCCGCTCCCAGCCCGTCTGTCTGCCCGCCGGCCCTTACCATATACCAGGTTCCCAGGATGATCGTTCCGGTGCGGACATGGCAACAGCCGCAGCACCGGGTGCTAAAGAACCGGTCGCTGCGGCTCCGCTTGAAAGTCATGGACACCATCGGGAATCTCCGGGCCTCCCTCTTGGCCAGGACCCTGTAAAAGGTTTTCCACTCAACGGTTGAACCGAGATAGCGCTGTCACTGTCACCCAAATCAGAAAAGGAATCTTCCAGCTAGCCAGCTCGCCCGCAGCCTGCCTGGTCCCAAACAGCTCTTTTGCACTTGCGCAATAAGTACCGAACGCAGCTATCGCGCGACAACCGCCTACTGTGTTCTGCACACAGACCAATAGAAGAGCAATTTAAGAGAAAAGTTAGGTTGGCACGTTCCCTGATTGGAAAGGATTGGGGATTGACAAGCACTCAGGCCCAATCAGAAGTTTAACTTGCCTTAGCGTTACTGGACCCTGACTATTACTAGAAGGGCAAGGACTGGTTTAGAGGTAGTCTAGTAATGCCTAAGATGAAACCGACAAGAAAAGAGGTATTTAAGGGAATAAATAAGAGAACCAATGAGGTAGGTGGCAAAAAGTGTGCACGAAGGACTTTCTTAAATGACGTATTTGCCACGTATTATTTCATAGTCGTCATGGGACACTGGTGCTCACGTGACATCAGTGTGCCGCTCAATTATTGGCTGGCCGCGGGGCGGTGCCTATGAAGAAGGGACAGGGCGAATCCCCGTTATGGACATTTCCTTTTTTCTGTGCAGAAGATGTGGATTACCTTAGAGGATTGAGAGTTCCACGCTCCTTCACTCTAGCTTTGTTGGTGGGAGCGAAGCAATGCTATTCAACCCAGCGAAGTCGCCACCAAGAGTCAAGTGGAAAACAAAAACAGGATAAAGCAACAGAACTGCTTAATTGCTAGGTTTTTACAGATAATCATAGTGATTTTTGTGTGTGTGGGAAAAAATTGTGAAACACTTTGAAACAAACCAAAAGATTGCTGGGTGTATTGAATGGAAAACCAAGTATAATCTGGTATACATTTACGGATTAGCTGATTATATGAGACTCTGCCTTTGTCTTTAGAACTAAGGCGACAGAAAGACTCTTTTCCAGAGATGCAGCTATTAGTTGCTTTCAAGTCGCCCCATTAAGTCGTGGCCACCCCGAGTGACAGAGTAGAAAATGCCCCTTAGGACTTTGAGGAAGACCATTTTAAAACTAAGGTCTTAATGTGTCTAAGACCTGTGGCTAAGGTTTAAGCTTGTTTTGTGACCCCATTTTATTACCCAACGAAACCTGGCGCCTCCGCAAAATTTCTACTGCTTCTTTGACCTAAATAGTAAAATGGCACCAGAAAAGTTTTAGCTTGGCCAAAGTAAAATGGTATCCAGACAATCCTAACAGCTCTAGTTAAAACACAGCTTCTTCCCTAACTACCTGCCATTGTCAGTTACTACCCCATAGTTATTCTGGTTTTTTAGAGATTAAAAATTTATTCTTTTAATTGGTAGCTAATCCCCACTCTAAGGACTATTCCAGGAAAGGAGAGAAACAGCTGTACATTTCTGGTGAAGGCCACTGGTAACCACAGGTAGGAAAAAGCTAACTGCCTATTAGAGACAGCATATCCTGAGTATCAAAACTCAGTAAACGCTTTGCCCTTTGCTCTGTGTCCTGTCTCTGAATATTAACTACATCAGTGGCAGGTGATTAAGAACCATTTTCCTGCATATAACTGGCACCCTTGATGGGTAATTCACTGGTGATATGGAGGCCCCATGCAGGACCAGCCCCCCTAAAGGGCCCAAGGGGCCTCAATGGAGTTTCCCCCTTTATGGGCCAGACAGGCCATTGTCAAAGCATAATTGAGCAAAGGAAAGCAGCCTGCAAGCTGCCGGGGGTAGCCTGCAACCTTCTTGTTGAGCTTAAGACAGGAATGGATAGGGCTGTGGCCCTTTGGAAAGCCCTTGATCCTGAGATGAGTAGGCATCTCTATGATCACTGTCCCAGTGTGCAGGATGGCATAGGCTAATGTCTATATACGTATCAGGAAAGCAGGCTTGGGTTTTGGTTTGAGGTTTCTCTAGAGGTGAGTATACAGTCCTGGTGTGGCACTTTAATATAAACACTAGACCACAAGGTTGGTTTGAACTGCAAGGTCAGTGGTTCAAAATCACCAGCAGCATTTCAGAAACCCTGTTGTTTCCTCTCTGAGTGGGAACTAACTCAGCAGCACTAACAACAGAGTTTTACATACGTGTATTCTGTTTCTTTAAAGGGTGATTGTATAATACCTGGGTTAAAGACTGTTCAGAAACAACCCCTCAATCTCTGGATTAAGGACTGTGGGGAGTCACCATGTTACCTGGGAAAAAGATTGCAGCAAGAGGTGGTTTGGGTGATCTGATGATTCTCAGAAATACCCCTAAGTATACCCCTAACCTCCTTTATAGCACCCTGTCTCTATATTTTTAAATATTCCGTAAAATTCACAGCCAGCAATATCTTGTAACCTAGAGCCACCCTTGTGTGGTACTGTAGGTTAAGCACTGTACTGTTAACTGCAAGATCGGCAGTTCAAACCCATCGGCTGCTCCTCTGAAACTCCATGCGCAGTTGCTATGATTGATTTGATGATGCTTTATCAACCAGAACAAGAGCAAAGGTAGTCAAGCAGATCCTAGCACCTGCAACTTTGTAAACATTATCCAATTAAATATACCCCAAGTGTACCCCTCCTCAATTGAGGTTTATATCTTTATAAACCTCTGCATCTGTGCTCCTCTAGAAAGTGCTTTGTCAAGAGTCTTTGCCTGTGTGTTTCCCCATTTTGCAAAATGTCTTTCTCTGTAATATACTCTTATCTTTTTACTTTAAAGACTTGTAGGGTTTTTTTGTTTTACTACAGAAATTTTCTTTTTATGTTGTTGTTTCTAGGTGCCAGCAAGTTGGAACTGACTCATAGTGACCTTATGTACAACAGAATGAAACACTGCGCCAATCTCACAACCAGTGTTAAATGCTTGATCTCATTGCTGCTGCCACTGTGCCAATCAATCTCATTGGAGGTCTGCTTTTTTGCTGGCCCTCCACTTTACCAAGCATGATGTCCTTCTCCACAGACTGGTCCTTGCTGATACTATGTCCAAAGCATGAGAGATGAAATCTGGCTACCCTGGCTTTTAAGGAGCATTCTGGCTGTACTTCTTCCAACACAAATTTGTTTGTTCTTCTGGCAGTCCATGGTATTTTTAATATTCTTCTCCAACACCATGACTCAAATGTATCAATTCTTCTACTGTCTTCCTTATCCATTGTCCAACTTTCACATGCATATGAGGCTATTAAAGATACGAAGGCTTGGGTCAGATGCACCTAGTCCACAAACTTACATCGTTGCTCTTAAACATTTAGAAGTTTTCCTTAGCAGATTTGCCTGATGCAATATGTCACTTGATTTTTTGACTGCTGCTTCACTGAGTGTTGATGGTGGATCCAAGCAAAATGAAGTCTTTGACAACTTTTCTCCATTTATCTTGATGTTACTTATTAGTCCAGTGGTAAGGATTTTTGTTTTCTTTACATTGAGGTGCAATCCACACTGAAGGCTGTGGTCTTTGATCTTCATCAGTAAGTATTTTAAGTCCTCTTCACTTTCAGCAAGCAACCTGCAAATTGGAGGCTGTTAATGAGTTTTTCTCCAGTTCTGATGTCACGTTCTTCTTTGTGTAATCCAGCTTCTCAAACTACTTGCTCAGTATACAGATTGAATAAGTAAGGTATACAATCCTGTCCTAAATTTAAACTATTCAGTGCTGCCTTGTTTTGTTTAAGCAACTGCCTCAATCTGAGTACAGGTTCCTCATGAGCAAATTATGTGTTCCAGAATACTCATTCTCTGCAATGTTGCCCATAGCTTGCCATGATCCACATAATGGAAAGCTTTTGCATAGCCAGTAAAACACAGGTAAAATATCTTTCTGGTATTCTCTGCTTTCAGCCACGATCCATCTGATGTCAGCTATTTCTCCTCACTTTGAGTTGTGCCCATTGAGCAAATGAAGGTCCTGAAAGCTTTACTCCACTCATGTCTTCATTGTCAATTATACATTGCAATGGCAGCTCTTCCCCAGTTGTATTTTGAGTGCCTTCCATCCTGAAGGGCTCATTTCCAGCACTATGTCTGACAGTATTCTGGTGCTCTTCATCATGTTTCATTATTTAATATTCTGGTTTTGACAGTGTACAACTGCTATTCATAAAGTTTTCAGTGACTAAATATTCTAAAGTAATCTGTCTGTCTCTCCTACTTCTTTGTCTTTGTCTAGAAGCTCAGTTGAAATCTCTCCACCATGGGTGACCCTGCTGGTATTTAAAATACCAGAGGCATGTAGCTTCCAAAATCATAGCAACACTAAGCCACCACAGTACAACAAACTGACAGACGATTGGTGGTTCTTTGCTATGTTGTTGTTGTTGTTAAGTGCCGTCGAGTCGGTTACGACCCATAGCGACCCTGTACAGGGTTTCCAAGGGTGTAAATCTTTACGGGAGTAGAAAGCCTCATCTTTCTCCGGTGGAGCAGCTGGTAGTTTCCAACTGCTGACCTTAAGGTTCGCAGCCCGATTCGTAACCACTACACTACCAGAGCTCCTTTGGTTCTTTGCTATAGTCTTTAAAAAGCAGCTCTCTAGGCCTTTTCTTCTGTTGAACCATAGGGTAGTTGGAACCACCAGCCTTTTAATTATCAACCCAGGTTTCCTATCCATAGATAGACTTAGAGATTGAATCCCTTTCTCCCCCACACATTGCTTAGAAAAAGACTATTTTCGCCTCTTTGTAAATTAATTTTACTTCTCTCTCTCATTTTTTAAAATAAATTATTTTTTTAAACTTACTCCACAAATAAATACTGGGTCTACATTTTTCCCCCTTTTTATGAGCAATATATTCTTTCAATATTTTTCATAATATCTGTTTTATCTTTTGATTCATTGTCATCACTTTTGCTTGCTTGTTTGTTTTTATTGTAGTTTGGGGGAAAGTCTGCAGAGCAGATTAGTTTTCCATTCAACAATTTGCATATATTTTGTCTTGTGGTATTAGTTGCAGTCCCCTCAATGTAGCAGAACTCCCCACTTCCTCTCTGGGAACCC